GAAGACTGAAAAGCAAAACAACAAAAAAACAACCTATAACCCCAAATACCTTCTTTAACATCTCATTACTGAGATCTTGTTAGTATTCCCCTCCTCATTTTGATATACAACTTACCTTGCCACTTGCAATACACAGATCTTCTTTCACTATCATCTGTGAACTAAAATAACATGAGAGAATAAGACAGGAAATAGAAAACTGTCTTGCAGAGTTGTCTGTGTTTTAAATGCACTATGATGGTTCTTACTTTTCAATCACATCTGCAATGAACTGGCTCGCTGCTTGAGCCTCTTCACCAGGCGGTCCGGAGCGAAACCTCTCTGAACAGAGGGATGGCAGTTCTACATTTGGTACTAGGTATGAGGAAAAGCAGAGAGTGGGATATCAAAAATAGATATAAGTCAACAATCACTCTTAATACCATTTTATGTACTTCAAATGCAAGGCAAGACCAAAAATTTTTCAATCAAGCCTCCCTACTCCTTTCAAAGCTAAAGTTACGCATGAGTTGGTTGTAAAGAACTTGTAGTACTCTGTATTCAGAAACTATATATTTCATGGTAAAACACATAATCCTAACTACCATTTTTTGTTTATAATCCTGCTATGGCTATCATGACCCCATACAAACTCTTCTTTAAGTGTTAGGCACTCTTCAGTAGATCAAGAAACAGCAGTATTTTCATCCCACCGCCTGACTTGACTGTTATGCTATCTGTTTTTCATCAGTCATTAAAAACTGAGGCTTTAGACTTGAACCAAAAACATGCATAAACATTTGTGAAAAAAACCCAAGCTCTCTGAAAATAACATACTTTAGAGATGCCTTGCAAAAGAGGGATTTGGTCTAACCTCTCACTTCCACAGAACTATTTTATTTCCAAAGCAACTTCAAGCAGGGAGGTACCCCCAGGACTTTTACAGTTTTCCAAGAAATAAACAGGGTTTATTTCAGTGTTTTTAAGAGTTACGTTTTTTGTCTACTGTCTTCAAAACAAAAGTTAACATGCTTTTGCACAACCTTGCATGCCATAATCTTTTATAGATTAACTACCTTCCCCCTCTTAATATACACACTTGCCCCTGCTGCAGGTCTGTTTCCAGCCTGGCCTGGAATCAGCAATAAAAAAGTAGTTTTACATGGAAAACTCCAGAGCAGAGGGCATTCTAAAATTTCTGAGGTACCACTGCCTAGATGTCAATTTGGAAATACAATTTTCCCAAATCCATTCTTTTAAGAAATCTTCCCAACACAATCTGTCATTACAGCCTCTTAACTGAAGCAATACAAGACCTGAGCAAGATCCACACTCACCAATATACCCTTTATCAGTAGAATCTGCTGCAGGTGCAGCAAGTTCCTGGAGAAACAAAAAAGACAAGATTTTCCAGCTATTCTATATACAACTAGTCATTTTCTTGAAAGTTATCATTACAATGAGATTTACAAAAGCCACTTTTAATCAGTCCTTGTCTGTAAATTTCCTATGGAAAAACTCAGTACAGGGGCATGCAGTGATTTGGCTCATAGTTCATGGCAGGCCAGCAGAAAAGTTGAAGCTACAAGGCACTTGATAGTCCAGCCAACTAATCCCCAGTGCACTTATTGATCAATATTTAGTAACTTTTCAATTATATAGCTTTTATCTAGAAATAACAAGGAGTTTATATTTGTATACATCTTTTCCCATACATGATGGGGACCACAAAAAATACGTGTTCTCAGAGTAAACAGGTAGGATTAGGTAATTAAATTCTATATTAACTTTCATGTCTGAAAATAACTCTACTGAAAGACTGTAATTGTGTCTGATTGGCACATTATTGTAACTCTGTGGGCGATTCATTCTAAACACCAATGCACAAATTCTGCTAACACATAAATTAAAATAAAACCAACCATACCGCTTTCACTCCACAAATCACCGTGGTATTTCCTAATTTCACCAGGGCAGAACCATCCGCAGTTGTAATTGAACCTGAAGAGAAAAAGTACTGTTCAATAAAATCTATTTTTCATTCAGAGAGCATTAATTAACATCCACCTTCACAAAGTGTTAACTTTCCATCATTTTATACTAAACAGAGGATAAACAACATCTCAAATCCAGAGTGGGACAGAATCTCTATATTAAACCATCACAAAGAATGACTGAGGCTGGGACAGCTGGAGCTCATCTGGTTCAACATCCCTACTCAAGAAGGGCCACCTAGAGCTGGTCGCCCAGAACTGTACCCAGATGGCTTTTGATTATCTCCAAGGAAGGAGACTCCACAACTTCTCTGGCCAACCTGTGCCAGAGATTCATCACTCTCACAGCAAAGAAGTGTTTCATCACGTTCAGAGGGAACATCCTGTGTTTCAGCTTGTGCCCATTGACTCATGTTCTGTTACTGGGCACTAATGAATAGAACTTGGCTTTGTCTTTTCCACACCCTCCCTTCAGGTATTTATATACATTGCCCGGCACTGGACACAACAGTCCAGGTGTAGCCTCACCAGTGCTGAGCAGAGAGCAGGATAACCTCCCCTGACCTGCTGGCAATGCTGTGCCTAATGCAGCCCCGGACAACATTGGCTTCTTTGCAGCAAGGGCACATTGCGGGCTCATTTTGCCTCTGCTTGAGGCAGGTGCCCACCAAGCTCAGAACACAGCAGAAGTCAGGACTCAGTGTCCCTCCCAAGATGCTCAGGCATAATTTTGTGCTGGTCAGTGTATGCCTTGTCGCTGCCTTCAGCATCTATAACATATGCTGCTGACCTGAGAGAGAGATAAGATCCCACAACCACCTAAATTGTGCTGCACGTACCTGGACAGGAGCAGACCTGAGTAATCACATTGTGCACATTAGCCCAGGATCAGGACTGAAAACAATGTTAAAGTATATTACTGTGCCATGCATTCTCTTTCATGCTTACTGAAATGGTAAATAAAAATCCTTTCTCTTCCTTGTTTCAAAGTAAGAACCAAGAAAACCGATTAGCAAGTCATTAAGGTCACTATTATAACCTGATATTAATAACACCTCCCCCATTATTATTATTCCAAATAAGCACTTGCCTATGTTGACAGTGGTTGCTCGAAATTCACCTAACTCCCTTCCATCAGGTCGACAGTTCTCTTTCTAAACAAAAATTACAAAGTTCAAATTAGAAAATATATTTTATTAAATAATACAGTAATATTTATGCTATAGGAGTTGATATAAAATAATATTCTTTTTAGCAGAAATATACAGCCTGAAAAATGCTAGTAAAAACTTGGTCACACTCTAGTTGGTTTTTCATCAATTGATAAGTAGTTTGTGGTTCTAGGCCTGCAAAAAAATCTCTGATTTTTAAAATTTATTATAATTTATTTCGAAAATATAACAATAAATTGATTGTCTCAAAGGTAAGTGCTACAGGCTAGATTCAGAACATCATCCATGAATGAATACTCGTTGGTAACTTAAAATGAGTTTCCACCTGTCTGCACTGCTAAGGTTTCGTAGGCAATTCCCCTCCTCCATCCCCACCTAGTGGAGCTCTAAAGAGGGTGAACTAAAGCAAAACAACCCCCAAAAACCCATAACATTCAAATACCATCAGGCAGAAACTGCACAGTACAAGACCCTTAAGTTAGAAATTGAAGAATATTCCATCGTGTTAGATCTGAAGAACCACAAGAAAGAAAAAATTCATTACAGGCAATTTATACAGGCATCTCATGTTTTACTCACCAAAAACCTTCTGTAATATTCCAATGGTTCCACAGTTCTGAAACAAATAGAAAGAGAAGTTCACATGCAAGCTCTTGAGTAAGCAAGAGATAGTAAAAAAAAAAAAGATAAGCAAGCACTAATGCACAACAATAAATAACTGGAGAATCAAGATGCCTAGCAGCATGGTAAAGCAAATGCTAAGCAAAGCTGCCTAGCAATATGGTTACGGAAAGATGAGAAAACTCTGAACTGATCTGTTTTCCTACACTCTGTTTGAAAATGCTTCCTCCTCACAAGGAACCTGTCTGCACATATACCTAACAAAAACTACTAGCTTTCACCTCAATAATATCAGTTATAAATCAACAGAAGTGTTTACTGAACAGACGGGTAGAATGGTTTTCAAGAAACGCAGAAAGTATAATTTTATAACTGTGTCTGAAATATCTGTTAGTTCAAGGACCGCATTCAGACGTACAAAATGATATATAAACAATCTTAAATGCTACAATTTTTCTTAGAACCTTTGAGAAAATATAAAATTACAAAATATGCTTCATGCAGTGCTTCAGGTGAGAAATAATTAACACTC